AGATGTGGGGGAGGGAAGAAGGTCTCCATGCCCAATCCCAGCTGTGGCCCTGGGACTGGAGAAAGGCTAGCTCCCTGATGCAGCCTCAGGGCTGGGGGAGCTTTCACTTGCCACTGCTGCCCGAGGCCAATGGCCAAGGGAGGGAGGGGACAGAACTTCTTCAGTTCTGGGGCTGAAATGGGTGTGTGTGTAATGGGGAAGACCATAGGCAGGAGCAGCATGGGGTGGGGCTGTGAGTGGGGCGATGAGCAGCAGGGGTGGAATAGGGACAGGACTGCAGACAGAAGAGGTGGGAAGGGGTTCTCCGCTTGCTCTGGCCCAGAGCCCTATGAAACCTTAATCCACCTCGAGGATTAAGCATACCTACTCAATGCTGTGACACCAGTTTTTTCCCTCTGCATTACTGGGCCAGAAGCAGAATGTAAATATATCAAAGAGGTTTTCTGGGCATTTCATCCACCAGACATTACAATCACTAACATTTTTAGGCACGGATGTAATTTAAACAAAATTCATCTGAATCCAATAGTAATAAACCAAGAGGAAATATAGTCCCCCTGTCCCAAGCTGCTTACATGTTACAAAAATGATCATACCAGTGTTTGAACTATGGCATGGTTGGTAGCATTCATATGGGCATTGAGAGGAAAGGAGCATTCTCCATCACAGTAGAATGCAGCATAGCCTTCTGGTGCGATTATCCAATCCTGAAAAATAAAACAAGCAAATTAAATAAACCCCACCACAAACAATCTCAATCCTCAGTTCAATCAACTCAAAACTGTATCACTATCCACTTGGCTCCACTGATGACTGAATATGCTATGTACAGAAATACAGTATTTGGGGAAAACAGTCCCAGTCTCTGTTTCTACAAAGCCAAGAGCAAAATTGAGTTAAACCTAGAAATAAATATTGAATACCCCCCAAGTAACCCACCAGTAAAGGAATTTAGCAAAGAAATACATTGAAAATAGCCTTTAAAATACTTTTCCTCCCAATTTGAAATTCTCAGGCTATTTCTGGTTCACTTAAAGCCTGCCAAATGTGTCATTCTCTGGCATATCCAGTGCCATGATCCTATGATTTGTTTGAGACTAAGACAATTTATGGACACAGGAGTTGGATAGGGGATGGTGACATTAGTGGGGTCACAGAATGATCCATTTTGGGAGTCTTTCAGCAAACCAGAAGAGAGGAAATGTATTTTAAACATTCAGTTATAGAATTTTTCTTTGTTGACGTCCCCCAATAGCCTGACTGAGATGGAGAAGGGAAGGAGTATTAAGCAAATATTTTGGGATTAATCCAATGTTATTGTAACCCTGTTTACCTTTAATTTTATTGATTTAATATTGAATTGTTATCCTTGGTTAGGTGCTTGCATTATGAGATTATCTTTCCTTTTTATAAATAAGTATTTAGAGAAATCTGAGCTACACAAGCTACAACATTTTCGTGAAATAACAATATTTTACATTATCTGTGATGTCTTGCATTGCCAAGGATCTCAAAGTGTCTTACAAAATGATGGGATCTGTGGTAAATAAATCTATAGCAGAACTGGAGGTACTTGAAAAATTCTGAACTTCATCACAATCCCACCACATGAACTATGTGAGTAGTTCTTCCTTGCCCTAGGTTGGCCTCTACACTCTCTATGGGCACTGCCAGACTGAGCAGGGAAACAAAGGAATTAACGTCAATGGCTTTGGTAGGAATTATGCCACAGAATGACTCTTCAACCGCATTAAGGAACTTCTGCTGAATCAAAAGAAGCTAGTGCTTCTTGAGTTCAATCCTCCTTGTCAGGGTTTCCCTCCCTCCCCCCTGCTTCTTTTTAGTAGAGTTTCCAGTACTTTATGGCTTTATGTCTAAAACTGGAGGCAAGTGACACAACTTTATGAACAGTGGCCAAACGTTTAAACTAGGGTGCATAAAGTTAAACATCTATATCCACATCACCCACTCAACTTCTGTTTATGTGCTTAAATATGGACCATGGAACCTAACTTAAGCCATTGTATTTGAAAACTGTAGCTGGTTGATTCTTTTTGGTCTTACAGCTAAGAATAAGTACACTATTAACAGCAATTAAGTATATACCACAGCTCATATTTAAGGATTACATCCTGACTGTACCTAACAATGAACACTTTAGTTTTAACAACAGAGTTCTATATTATTTATAGGGATCACATCAACCATCACTGAAATGAAACCACCTCTGGGGTATAAAGTTCCAACTGTTTAAGAGCACACAGCAGCTCTACACATCTAGGAAGCAAAAATGAATTCTGCAGAGGGAATTTTAATATACATGGAAACCTGAAATGTGTTATCTAAATCAGTTGCTGATGGCCTTCCCATTATTTCCTTAATAAAATATTTCCTTTGAAAACAGCTTTTGCTTCTCTGGAAGAACCCAGAGGAGCCTCTGTTTTCTCTGCCTTTTGATGCCTTACCTCTGCCTTTTTGGCCCCACAGGTACCATCTTTTCTGTTAGACTATGGCTGCATAAAAGGTTTGCTGTTGAGTGATTCAAAACACCTTGCAGGGGCTAAAATCTCTGCTTCCACAGAACTCTGAACTCTGATGGTATAATTCTCATCTGTCAATACACAGCAAATGCAGGAACTAGAAAGAAACTCAAGCCAAAACTGGATCTGGATTTCAAATACAGTACACCAGAGTTTGCCAGGGGTGCTAGAACAATGTATACAGTGGAAGTGTTAAGAGCCATTGAACCAATCTGTAAACCCTGGATATGATGGAAACTGCTTCAAGCCAGCACTCCCAGCATCCCTAGTTCCAGAACCTATGAAGTACTGGGGTGTTCAGAGATGGGACTGTAGTTTGATCAAATATTGACAGTGTTGAGTGGCAGTATTCTGAAGCAGATCCAAACCCCAACACCACCAATATACACAGAGGCTGTGTCTACATTGGCACCCCTTTCCGGAAAAGTAGGAATAAGAGATCCTCCGGAAAAGGCTTTATTTTCCGGAGAATCACGTCTAGACTGGCGCTTTTCTCCGGCTTTTCCCCAAGCCGGAAAAAAAGTGGCGGACATGTTTATTTAAATCCGCGGGGGATATTTAAATCCCCCGCGGATTTGCCTATTCCAAAGTCTACATTAGCATCCCTTTTCCGAAAGGGATGCCAGTGAAAAGGCATGCAGAGTGTCTGGCTCTTGAATAAAGGTTAGGGCTCATTGCTGGTAAAACCTATTAATTTATCAGGACTATAATACTATTAGGCTACATCTAGACTGGCCACAAATTCCGGAAAAGGGATGCAAATCAGGTAAGTCAGCATAGGGAAATCCGCAGGGGATTTAAATATCCCCCGCGGATTTAAATAAACATGTCCGCCGCTTTTTTTCCGGCTTGGAGAAAAGCGTCCAGACTGGCGTGATCCTCCGGAATAAAGCCCTTTTCCGGAGGATCTCTTATTCCTACTTGAACTCCGGAAAAGGGCTTTATTCCGGAGGATCGCACCAGTCTAGACGCTTTTCCCCAAGCCGGAAAAAAAGTGGCGGACATGTTTATTTAAATCCGCGGGGGATATTTAAATCCCCTGCGGATTTCCCTATGCTGACTTACCTGATTTGCATCCCTTTTCCGGAATTTGTGGCCAGTCTAGACGTAGCCTTAATGTCTAGGGGATGTCTTTCAGAGATTCATCTGCTTTTTTTCCCCACATGGCTTTGTAGGTTGTAAACACAAATAGCTCTATAACTGCTACAAAAGGATTGCAGATAGGATCACAAATCACTATAAAGTGCATTTTGAGAATTGTTTACTTTTCAGGGCAACTCCAGTTACCACCAAGAAAAATTCCTCTACAACAGATAGCAGATTACAAAAGAGACTATAGAAATTAGCACTGATATGAAAGAGTATATCCATACCTGCCATCCCAAGTCACGAAAACTCACATAAAGTTCATGTTTTTTACAGGCTTGCTTTTGTTCACTTGTGTTATAATCTGCAGAGAGAAAAAGACATTCTTCAGACACACGGCTGTGGAAGACAAGATTCAGATTTTAAATTCCTTGGCAAACTTGTGCAAAGCAAAGGAACAGAAATTGTCTCATTTCTACAGCTAGGGATGGTCGTAAAGCCAATATCATATTTTGAAGTTCAGAATCCCCAATCTCAGGTTGGCATAGTGTATGTACAGAGCATAAATGATGTGTTCAGTATTAGTGGAAATAAATGTTCATGCTATCTACTTGTTAGCTATCAAACAAACAGGTCAGATAATATTGACAGATATAAGTTTTCAAAGATGGGAAAAAAAATCAAGGACTTGATCTAAATCTCATTGAAGACAGTGAGAGCTTTTGCTTTGGGCTTTGGATCAGGCCTTAAATTCTAGCTGAAGAATAGGAGGGACTCTGATTTCAAATTATAAACATAAAATCATAATTTCAGTTATTTAAATCTTATCACATTTTGTATAGCTATATTTTTTTTTACCATTGTAAAAAATATCCACCAACCAATGACCTTTAGCTGTTAATACAAGTGTAAACAAATAGCACAATAGATGCACTTTAAGACATAGGCGTGCCAGGATGGGATGATCCACAGAATCTTCACTACATGCCAGGGATAACCATAATTCCTCTCTTTGGTAACGTACAAAGATGTGGGGAAGCCCCTGTCCCATCTCATCACCACCCAGCAGAGGAATTGGATGGGCATGGAAGGCACCAGGCTGTACCACCTTATGGGATGGTGCAGCTTAGTGCATTCCCGTGTGTGCCTGGGATCTGACAGAGTGACTATGCTTCCTGCTAATGTTCAATATTACAACCAGTTAATATTTGTTTTAAAAATATTTGTTTTTAAAGACTAAAATCAGCTTTTTGATCAAAATAAACATTTTCATAGAAAATTCTCATTTTGGTTGAAATTTCAGAAACCCCTTCCCTCCTTGGAAACTAAAAACCCACAAATTTAAGTGTTGATAAAAATGTCAAATTTTTAATGTTGATAAAAATGTCAAAAATTTAAACTAAATTTTTAAAAAACTGAGAAAGGTTTTCAAACAATAAAAACTTTGTAAGTTTGTGTGTCTGTCTTTTCAATATATTTTCTTTAGAAATGTAGGGGGCCATACTTTTAAAAATGCTGACAAATAATTTCATATTCCAGCCTATTTTATTTAATATACTGTGGAATGACATGGATAGGCTTTTTGTTGGAATAGCTCTGGCATGTCCTGCAGATACATTAGATAGGTACAGCCACTGAAGGGTCTTGTTAGAACTTATCTGCACAGTGCTCTCCATTTTAAATCAGCAAAGTATTGAAGTATCATGTGCTTTGCTTTAAACATGTTAAGAGTCTCATTAACTTCAGCTTAATTTTAAATACAATTTTGCTGGATTGGGCTGGCATGCTCACCACGATGATTGTGCCCTTGGTTACTAATACAAATACACATAGGACTAATATTAGTTTAAAATGTTGAATAAGTTCTCTTTCATAACTTTCAAAGAATATTTTTCTGGTTTTAATGCTCTTTAAAGATTAATTTTGACCTCACATATTCAAACTCTCACAGTGAGTTTTAAATTCATAATCCATGGAAATCCGTACAAGAAACTGAATTATGAGTTACATTCATTCAACAACGAAATAAAGACAATGCCATGTGTCATTTCAAATTGGAATAGAAATTAAATTTGGAATAGAAAACCACAGTATAAATGAAACACATGAAAAATATGACTGAGGAATGCACAATCCCTTTGTAGATAGTCCACAATCAGAAAAACAGGTGGAATCTGGTGAATACATTATTCTTAATCCAGTTGTCCATCAGCTTGAGCTCTGGAATCAATTTCTAATATTGTGAAGTTTTTGTATTTAACACACAACCTTCAGCACCAAGAAGCTTGAGGAGAAGAGTCCTATGGCTATAGGAAGAAGACCCCCCAATAAATATTTATAGTGTCACTTCAAATCTTTTCACAATCTTCAAAATCCCCCAAATTTTTAAAAAAATGGATGATCTTGCATGGATGTAAAAAAAGTCCAAGAATACTTGTTATGAAGACATGCATTCGATATACAGGTTTCTGAAAACTACATAACCACACACCTATTTAGAATTCTAAACTACTAAAGAAAATCCATATTTCTTCCCTACATTCTGCCTTTTATATAAGACAAATGTTGTGTGTAATGTAACATTACATAAAAGTAGCCACAGTGACATTTACAACAGAAATCTGTGCCAAGGATCCAGTTTCACATTCTATAGCTTCAAGGTCTATATGCTTATTCTGTCAGGCATCAAAACCATGGTATATTATGACTGAGTACATTTTGTACCTAAGCCATCCAGGGACTGCAACTGGGTTCCAAATCTGTATGTGGCAGAAGGAGCTACGGGAGTAGGACAAAGGAATCAGATTTATTATTCCTATGCATATTCACTAGCAGTCAGAGAGGATTTTGGTTACTAAAGAAGAGATGGAAGTTGAGACGTATGAACCTGCCTGCATTTGCTATCACAAAGTACCATATGTTTAATTAATTAGTGTAACAGCAACCAATAAAATCCAGGAAATACACAGTTAAGCATGTTTTCCATTCTTATCTCTTAGCATCAGTAATAAAAAGTACCACAGCTTTGCTTTTGAATTTCCTGGTATATGTCAGTTTGCATCAGTGTCTTTATATTATTAAAATATAGATTTTATTTTGTG